AGCCGGCGCGCTGTGCCGATCTGAAGCCAGGAGCCAGGTGCTTCCTCCTGGTGTCCCATGCGGGTGCAGGGCCCAAGCACTTGGGCCATCCTCCACTGCCTTCCTGGGCCACAGCAGAGAGCTGGACTGGAAAAGGAGCAACTGGGACAGAACCAGTGCCCTAACCGGGACTAAACCCAGAGTACCGGCACCGCAGGCAGCGGATTAGCCTAGAAACAAGATTTGCATATCTCTGATAACTGCTGAACAACATAAGATTATATAATCCAGTGCTAAATTAAATAGAACAGATTGAAGGAAAAGTGAGAGTTGGGAAAAGAGGCATTAATCACTCAACTATGGGCCAAATCTGTTAGGGCAAGCCCCTGCAGAGGGTCACTTGCTGCCCATGTGATTTTCCACACACTATGAATAGCAAGGACATCATACAGGTCAGCGAAGGTTTGAGAAGATGAAGAGGAGCAAGCAAAGAGGGATGCCTGTGGATGTACTTAGAAACCGGGATTAACAGGCTTTAAAAAATGGTTCTCAACACGCTTCTTTGTTTTCCATGCATTTCTTATCAATGAGATGATAACCCTTAGCCCAGTTCTCCCTGACACTGTTACCTATATTCTTCTGGCAAAACCAGAAGAATCATTTACATTCATGTGAAATAAAGGAAAATTTTCTTTGCTGGAAAATGAACCAAAGTGAGTGGTGGGGAGCCTGGGCTGGGGCAAAGCAGGTTAAGCCATGGCCTGCAGCACTGGCATCCCACATGGGTAATGGTTCCTGTCCTGGCTGCACTACTTCCGATCTAGCCCTCTGTTAATGCACATGAGAAAGCAGCCAGGGATCACCAAAGTGCTTGCGCCCCTGCAACCTCTGGGAGCCCAGGATGAAGCTCCTGTCTCCTGGCTTCAGACTGGCCCAACCCCAGCCATTGTGGTCATTTCGGGAGTAAACCAACAGACAGAAGATTTCTCGCTCTGTCTTTGTACCTTTGACTTTCAAATAAATAAATCAATCTTTTTTAAAAAATTAGGTATATCATTAAAGGAAGCCTTCACAGCAATAAAAAGGAATCATTATTCAAAATAAATAAATAATAAAATAAAATGATGGTGACAGAGAGAATGATCTGGATCCTGCTGCTTAAAGAAAAGTCAAGGGCAAGCTTTAAAATCAGGCCAGCTTTCAGGTATTCATAAAAGTCAAAACCCATAGATGATGGCTAAATTCCATTACAGCCAGGGAGAAGGAAGTTATTAACTCTGAATAAGACATTTGGGGCTGTTCAGGTTTTTTTTTAATTTTTTTCTTCTGCTCAAGTTTTCACTGAATGCAGCAGATCAAGGTTTCTTTTCCATTTATGTCTGTGACATCCACAGTCATTAATTCCAGGGTAGATATGGGCCAGATGGAGGTTGGTACCTGAGATAGTCAGTGGGGTTGAAAGTGCTACTATGAAGTAGTGCTGCAGAAAGCATGGTGTGCAAAAATCTGCTCTATCCCAGAACTGGGTTAGCCTGCTTCACTTCTATCTTCCTACTGACATTCACTGAACTCCGGAGTGACTTAGAAATGGTCCTCCCTTTCCACAGTGGAGCTGCCTTTCCCAGCAACTTTCTAATTTCTCAGCTCTAGTAAACTGCCCTGGGCTTCCTTTTCTTTTAACATAACCTACATTATAGGACTCTCTAGATCCAGATCTGAGTTCAACTACTAAGTTGAGAGGCTTAAATTGATGAAAAATTTGAGAGATAAGATGAGGAAATGTCAAAGAAACAGAAGTTACTTAAACTTGAGTAAGGAGAAAGAGATGTAACAGAATTAGTAGTGTACTGTAACCAGATCCTACAAGCTCCAAAGAGCTTTTTGTTACGTTTTAGGAATTTTATGATATTTAACCAAAAGCAAATTATTATCAACTTACATAATAAAAACAAAAGTATTACAATGGACACAAAGAAATTGTTGAAGCTGATGAACATGCTCATTACCATAATTGTGAAAATTTCAGAAAATAAATCTGGTAATAAAGAGTGATTGCTAAAATACTTCAAATCATTTTTATTTCATTATAAAATTTCATGTAAGGGGTGAATGCTTGGACTAGCAGTTAACATACTAGTTAGGATGCCCACATTCCATAACAGCATGCCTCTCTCCCCAAAGAAACCACTGTCCTAACTTTTACAGTACTCATTTCCTAAGCTCTTCTTTAAAATTTTAACCTTTGAGCTTACATTCCTATACGATGTAATGAATGGGTGCTGCAGTTTATGACCTATGGAGGTGGGAATGAGGGGAAGTACAACCTTTTTGTTCAACTTTATGTTTGTGGGTTTCTAATATTGTAGGGAACTGCAGCTTTTCATTATCATGTATCTTTTTGTTGTGTTAATGTAACTCAATTTACCTGCCACTCTACTATGGACAGACACTTGCTTTTCCTATAGTTTGGGGCAATTTCAAATTTTATTGCTAATAGCATTTTTGTAAAATATTTTGATGAATAAGTCCATACATTCCCACTGAATATATTCCTAGGAGTGGGATTGCTAGACAAGAATCATTTGCAGAAGTGGCAGTACCAAGTTATACTTGATCCATGACAGTCCACATCAATTTACTTCCTTCTTACCTGTATTAGAAGTCTTTTTGATTTTAGCCATTCTGAAAAGGTTTTCATTTTCATTTTCCTGATTAAAAATGGAGTTAAACACCTTGCTATATTTTGCCGATCATTTAGATTTTCTCTTTTGAAGTGTCTGCTCAAGTGTCTTTCCCATTTTTCCTTATTGATCAGATTTTAAATATTTATTTATTTGAAAGACAGAATGTCAGAGAAAAACTGACAGAGATCTTCCACCTACTGTGTCAAATGCCACAACAGCCAGGCCTAGGCCTGGCCAGCCTGAAGCCAAGAGCCAGGAACTCCAACTGTCTCCCAAGTGGGTGACAGGAACTTAACTACTTAGGCCATTATCTACTGCCTCTTAGGCACATTAGTAGGAAACTGGATAGGAAATGCAAGGTAACCAGGACTTGAAGGATGCTCTCCAATATGGGATGCAGGCATCCTGAGTGGCAGCTGAACCTGCTGTGCCACAACATAGTTCTTTACACTTGTAAATCCTATCTAAGGGCCCTTCCTTACACATCTTATAAATATCTTCTCTCAATCTGTGCCTTTGCTATCACTCTACTTAATGATGTCTTTGGATAGGCAGAAGTTCTCAAGTTATCAGTATAATGTAGTCAAATTTATAATTATTTCCTTTTTGTTTATTGACAATTTTATATATTTAAAATTCATTTTCTGTCAGGAGAATAATTTACATCAGCTTATAAAATATTTTCTTTTATAAGTGTTTATAATTAATGTGCACTTGATTTGGGAATACAGTTTGAAGTAGGGATTACAATTCTTTATTTCTCCATGTGAACATCAAATGATCCAAGCATAATTTATTTTTTATATGAGAATGTTCCTTTTTGTAAGTATATTTGTTTGTTTACTTATTTACTTATTTATTTGAAAGGCAGAATGACTGTATGTTTGCATATCAATATGTCAGAGAGAGAGAAAAAGAGAGATCTTCCATTTGATAGTTCACTCCTCAAGTGCCCACATCACCTAGGACTCTAGGACTCGAGCAATCCAAAGCCAGGAGCCACAAACTTCATCTGGGTCTTCTACTGCGTAGAAAGGACCCAAGTACTTAGACCATCATCTGCTGCCTTCCATATTGTACAATAATAGGAAGCTGGATAAGGTGAGGAGGTGGAACTCAATCCCAGGCACTCTGATATGGCATGTAGCCATCCTTTTAGAAGGCTTAACCCAATGTGCCACATCATTTGCCCAAGCACTATTTATTTTCAAAACCCCTTTTGCCATTGCTCAGGAGGGTTATCTTTCTCTTAAAGCAAATATCCATTAATGTGGAAGTATGTTTTAGGACCATCTGTTCTTTCATGTATTTGTATATCGTTTTATCATAACACTGCCTTAACTTTACATAATGTCTTGATATTTACTTCATTATTCTTCAAGAGACCTTCAAGAGATTCTGAGATATTTTTTGGCCCTTTGCATCTCCATATACATTTTAGAATAAATCTGTCACATTAGACACATACACACAAATGTCCTTGCTGGAGACTTTGAACAAATTTGTACTGAATCTGTACATCAAGTTGGGAAGAATTGACATTGGAATATAAATCACGTTTCTTTAAAAAATTAGTTTCATATTTGTTACTAATCCATTGAAACACAGTTATCTTTGAATACTGATTGAGTTCCCAGCAAGTCTGTTTATTTATTAACAATTTTTCATCAGCAGATGTTGCTGTGCAGCAGGTTAAGTCAGCACTTGGGATGCCTGCATCCCCAGTGTGAGGTCCTGGCATTGAGTCCCCCCCACGTCTTCCAATCCATCATCCTTTTAAATAAACACTTTGGGAGGCAGTCTTGATGGCTCAAGTACTTGGGTCCCTGCCATCCCTATGGGAGATCCAGAAATTGTTCTTGACTGCTTGACTCCTGGCTTAGGCCTGGTCCAGCCCTGGCTGTTGTGGACATTTGGGGGAATGAACCAGGAAATGGAAGACTGATCTCTCTCTCACTCTGCCTTTCAAATCCATAAATCTTTCACTATTTTCCTAGGTTTTTTTCTTAATTTTCCCATGCACCTTATAATAGTTATGTAAAGTATATAAAATTTCTTCCTAATCTATACCTTATACTTCCTCTTCTTGAGAAATACTAAAACCCACAGTAATCTGAATCTAATTCATATGAAATTATAGTTGTAAATTCAATAAACAGTTGTTAGCGAATTAAACCTTCTTCCCATCATACAAACTCTCACTCTCAGCTAGCCGGGCTGGACCACCGCTCAGCCAATCACTTCCAACCCGGAGGAGTCTGAGCCCAGACCCCGCCTCCGAAGCAAGCTCCGGGCTTGGCTGAGAAAGCTCCACCCCTCGTCCGGATGCAGCCAATCAGCGGCCGCCTCTTACGCGCGCCCCACCGGCCAAAATGGCGGCGGCCTTTGGCGGGGATTCCGGTTTGTAAGGGCCGTTGTTTTACTCTTCCCGTGACAAAATGTGAAAGAAGTGACTGGTGGAGGGGGGTCGCAAGTCATGAGTCGACGAAGGAAATATGGGGACAGTCCTGCCCCGAAGAACACGCCGCTCAAAACAGCGGCGGCTGAGGACTGCGGCTCGGTGGTCGAACCCAGGAGGAGGCGGCTGAAGTCGGCCCGCGGCTCCCGGTCCCGCGTGGCTGGAGAGGGCCCTGGCCCACCAGTGCGGCAGCGAGAGCAGCGTCCAGCAGCCGCTGGGTGCAGTAAAAGTACCCCCAAGGGTGAGACGTCGGCAGTGCGCCTCGCCTGGGCCGCGGCGCTGAGTCCCACAGCCCCGCTTGTCACCGGCAAACTGGGGGTGGGGGTGGCTCTGGCACTGCGTGTTCTCTGGGCTTCTCCCCTGCGAGCCCCAGAAGAACCCTGTCTCTCTCCTCCACGGCTTTTCCCCCCGAGGCTGAGCACCTCCCAGTTAGGGCTGGCCACCCCCTCGTCCCCGCCACGGGAGTGTGTGGTGGGGTTTACCTGTTCGGGGGCGGACGGCTAATTACTAGGCTGCTCTTCCAGTTACCAGCTGTGGCGGAGCTGGAGAAACGCGATAGGGCTGTTACGCTCAGCTTATTCGTAGGGGAATTATTTCTCTTAAACTTGTGTGTCCTAATTCGCTTCAGAGAGGGAGTCACACAGGGGGCTGGTCTCTTCAAAGCCTTGGCCTGCGTCTCCTCGTTGGGAATAAACCGGAAGTGCCTGTGGGTAAAATTACCTCAGAGTGGGAACCCCCGGAGGGCTCCTTTCAACCTGATTACTTTGGGGTGTCCTATCTAAAATGATTTCTAGTAAATGTTATAAACTGGAACTCATACAAAAGCCTTTTGCTACAGTGTGTTTTTAAAATAGAAGTATCATTACTTTTATTTACTCCCATTAAAGTAACGAAAACGAATCTTTGTTGAAATTTAAATGATTATAGGTGAAACTTCCAGTGTTTGAAATGATTAATGTAGGTTGGGAAGAGTTAATGAAAGAAGGCTACACAGTTTCTGTTGAGATATTTTTCTGATATTTTAAAATATCTACAAATTGCAGGTGGTTCCACAATGCTTGGAGCACGCCAATAAATGGAGTGGTTTTGTTATACAGTATTATTCATTCATAAAGGTACTAGGTTATCTAAAGATATTTACCATTTACAAAGTCAGATTTGCTTTTCTTTTTCTTTTTTTTTTTTTTTTTTAGAGAGAGATTTATTTATTTGAAAGGCAGAGTTAGAGCAAGAGATCAATCTTCCATCCACTGGTTCGCTCTTCAAAGGGCCACAATGGCTGCAGCTAATCCAGACAGAAGCCAGGAGCCAGGAGTTTATCCAGGCTTTCCCTGTGGGTGCAGGGCCCCAAGCACTTGGGCCATTCTTAGCTGCTTTCCCAGGTGCATTAACTTAGAAGTGAAACAACTGTGACTGGAGCCAGCTCCCAAATGAGGTGCTGGTGTTGTAGGTAGTAGCTCAACACAGGCCCCCAAATTTGATTTTGAAAGAGACATTTCAATTGTAGTTAAAATAATCCAGTTGTTTCTGGGAGACAGGTTTACATTATACCATAAGGGAGTCTAAGCAACTTTTTGACTTTGGGGTATATTGAAGTACAGGAGTGGTGCTTTAAAATGCAACAATTGTTATTTTAATCATATTTTATATAGAAAGATATGAGACACCAACAAGAATGCTGAAAATGGACTTGTCTTCTACATTCAGTTCTCCTAATGATCCAGATGGACAGAATGATATCTTTTGGGATCAGAATTCTCCAATGACAAAACAGTTAGGTAATTTGTCATTAACATTTTTTATGTGCATCAGTATTTGATAAATGATTAGGAGGTAACTAGATTTTCAATCAAGTAATGTCAGGAACTTTTGTATTGCGATGGTTTTGAGAATGATATATGATTTTATCTCTTTATGTGATGTCAGAAAGCATAGTCACACAAACTATGCTAATAAAAATCATTTTCTGGAAAGTAGTAGCTATTTTTAAATGTGTTTTTTATTTGTTTAAAATGTATAGAAATGTTTTTGTTTCTTCAGGTAAAGGAAGAAAAAAACAGATTTACACCACAGATAGTGATGAGATTTCACATATTGTTAATCGAATTGCTCCTCAGGTAAATATTACTAATTCTGTAGTTTATTTTATAACAGTGAAAAGTACCACCAAATCCTCTAATTTGCTTATATGAAAAATGTTTTTTTTTTTTTTTACATTTTCTTTTCCAAAAACAGTACGGCAAAGATGACTTTCACCTTTTCTGTTTCTGAAATGCATGTTTTGAGTAAAGGAACATAATATAAGTTGATAGTAGCAGTATTTCCTCAGTAATCACAGTAAGAACTGAGGATAGATTCTAGAACCCCTACAGATGCCAAATACGAAAGATGCTCAAGTTCCTTATATAAAATGGCATAGAGTGTGCATATAACTTAGGTACATTCCTCTAGGTACTTTTAAATCTCTACATTTCTTGTAACCTAATACTAAGGCAAGTGTTATGTACAGAGTTGTTATACTGTCTTGTTTAGGGGGAAAATGGCAAAGAAAAATGTTTGTACATGTTCAGTACAAAAAACAGTTTTTTCTCCTTCAGATATTTTCAGTCTGTGATTGGCTGAATCTGTGGCTCTGGACTCATGGAGGGCTGACCATTTTTATAAGTATAAGTTTAAATTTATTGATTTTTGGCTAGAATTTGATTTTTTTGGTCATAAATGTATTCATATGTTGTATCATTTTTAAGCTACTAAAATAATAAGACATTTAATACAAATTTAAACTTTTACGACTTCTTTTGTGATTGGTATTTGTTTACTATCTATAGTACAGCTTTTCTTATTAAAACTGATCTTACCACATACTGATATGTAAAATCCTTCGGATTAGCGCGGTGCACCGGCCACATGGCACCGGCCGCAGTGGCCATTGGGAGGTGAACCAACGGAAAAAGAAGACCTTTCTCTCTGTCTCTCTCTCACTGTCCACTCTGCCTATCAAAAAAAAAAAAAATCACTGAAGCAGCACTGGTTTTAGATATAGTGTTTTTTAAGCTTCTTATGCTGTGTGACTATAGATGAGTTACATAAACTCTCACATCTTCAGTTTGTTTAGCCATAAACCAGAAGTATTACTTATTGTCTTCATTGGATCATGTAAGTTAAATTAGATAGATTATTTATAAACTGTATAGCAATATAAATATAAGGTTATTTTAAGAGTGTTCATTATGATGGCTAAATTATTTGCTGTAATACAACTATCATCAAGTTTTTTTTAACTTTAATTTCAGTCGTACTGCTTAAGTGGAATAGAAATAAGTTTTTAAATCAGTTATTCAACACATAGCAATCTAGTAACTCTAATAGCATTTATCCTTTTAGACCTCTAATTATTACTAAGAAATATGAACACAACAGGTGAAACTGCTCATAGCTGCTTTACTTTCTCCTTTCTTTATTTTTCTTATTCAACAACTCCTAAATCTAGAGATTATCCAGTACTTTTTTTTTCTAAAGATTTATTTTATGTATTTGAAAGACAGTTACAGAGAGAAGTAGAGACAGAGAGAGAGGTCTTCCATCTGCTGCCTCACTCATCAGATGGCCGCAACGGCTGGAGCTGGGCTGATCCGAAGCCACGAGCTTCTTCCCAGTCTCCCACATGGGAGCAGGGGCCCAAGGACTTGGGCCATCTTCTGCTGCTTTCCCAGGACATAGCAGAGAGCTAGATCAGAAGAGGAGCAGCCGGGACTCCCAACTGGTGCCCATGTGGGATGCCGGTGCTTCAGACCAGAGCTTTAACCTGCTGCACCACAGTGCCAGCTGGAGATCATCCAGTTTTAACTTAGTGTCTTTTCTGAAGGAAATGTGATACTTTTCCTTAACATGCCCTTGGTTGGTTATTATATATAACCATAAAAGAAAGATGACACTGGCCCAAAATGTGGTTACAAGGAATCACCATCCTCCAGGTGGAGCAGACAGGAAGTAGTTTTTCCTAGCAGATATAACATATTACACTTATGACCAGTGCATTCAAAAGAACTCTGTTACTACTAGCTCTATGTTCTGCCTTTGGCATGTCATAGAAATTTGTTTTACATACTGTTCATTAGTCAGGTAGTATTTGTACAGTACTTACTCTACAAGCTAACAATAAATCACAAATTGTGGATTTCACTTGAAAGAAACATAATAAAATGTGTTTGGGCTGGCTAGCCTAAATAGTGATAAAAGATGATTGAGTAAATTATTGGACTCTACCTAAATGGACTGGAAATAATACCTCACATAAAGAAATGGCAACAGTATCAAATGGTAAAATGGATAAAAGAGAAAGTATGTTAAATTAGTTGGTTTAAAAAATGTTACCCTCTTCAACTGCCCCCCCCCCTTTTAAGATTTATTTGATTATTTGGGAGTCAGAGTTACAAAGAGAAAGATCTACCATCAGCTCGCTCACTCCCCCAGATGACTATAATGGCCAGGGCTGGACCAGGCCAAAGCCAGAAATCAAGAGCTTCATTTGGGTCTCCCACATGTGTGGCAGAAGCCATCTTTTGTATTTCCCCAGGCTATTTGTGGGCAGCTGGGTCAGAAGTGGAGCAGCTGGAACTTGAACTGGCACCCATATGGGATGGTAGTGTCACAGGCAGTAGCTTCACCCATTACACCACAACACTGACCCCTCAACTGACCACATTTAAGGCATCCTTATATAAATCTTTGCTAATATCAAGGTCTCTAAATGTTTGTCATGTTTTCAGATGGACAAATATTCATATTGTTTATTTTTAGGTAAGTTATCTTCATGTCATTTAATCTACCCATAGTGTTTTAAAACATGGCATTTTCTATAATATGCACTTCCATTTCAACTGGATAGATATTTAACTTTCTGCAGGAATACTTTTTAATACAGTATCTTTCATTTGAAGTTGAAGTATATCTTTCCATCATATATACATAGTATACTATTTAGAATGAAATGAAGTAATTTTAGATACCTATGCAAAACCTGGATTGTAGTTAGGAGTCATTAAGTTATATAAATTTTAATATAGAAATATTTAAAAATAATAATTGTAAATAGTATATAAACATACTTAGGATATGTATATGATATTTAAAATTGGGCAAATAAAGTTTCCATAATTTAATTCTCAGGAAATTGAATGAATTTTAAATTACTTAGTAATTGGGTAGAGTACATAATTAAATCATTAAGAATGTATTTTTCTGGGACCATGTTTGGTCCTTCTCCAGCTTGTAATTCCCACTTCCTGCTAATGAAGACCCCGTAATACAGCAGTGATAGCTCAAGTATTTGAGTTCAGCCATGTGGGAAATTTTTGTTTGAATTCCTGGCTCCTGACTTCAGCTGCAGCCTAGATCTAGCTACTACAGGCCTTTGAGAAGTGAACCAGCAGCAGATGGAAGATACTTCTCTCTAAAAAAACGTTATTTTCTTTAAATTCAATATTCTTGTTGAAGCAAAAGGGAGAATACATATTGTATCTAAAAATGAAATTGTTGATTTTCTTAAGTGTTTTGCAGTCCAAAATTCAACTAAGTTCAAGTAGATTCTAAGAAACCTGTTTCTTGATTGCTTGAGGATTTTAAAGTGCAAATAGTAAGGGTCTTTGCAATAAACCTTTTAGTAAATGAATGTAAATTAGCATCTTCTTTATACACCAGCATTTCAGATGTGGGGAACCTTTTTTCACCAAGGGCCATGGGGATATTTATAACATCATCCCCATGCTATACAAAACTATCAACTTAAAAATTAGCCTGCTATAGATTTATTGAATTTTGAGTCCTGCCTGATTACTTTGCAAGGCCAGACCAGTGATTTCACAGACCCCTCTGATGAACTTTCATTAGAAGAGTCCTGAGCCAGTGTTGTGATACAGCAGGTTAAGTCACTTTTCTGTGATGCCCACGTTCCGTATGAACAAAGGACAGACTGGGATGGCGTTCCAGGCTTGTGGCTTCAGCATGACTTATCTCTGGCCATTGTAGCGATTTGGGGAGTGAATCAGTGGATGGAAGATCTCTTAGTGTTTGTGCCTTTCTCTCTGTAACTTTGCCTTTCAAATAAATAAATGAATCATTAAAGAAAAAAAGGAAGGGTCTTTGCCTCTCATCCAGTGATAAGGTTATTTTTATCTTGCATGGTATTTACTATAAAAATAGAATTAAAAATGGTTAATTGACTTTATTCTTGGTTTGTAATCATCAAGCTCATTCTCTAAATTTTTTGTGTGATCAAGTAACTGAAAGGAATAGCAAAAATATGAAGTTTTAAAGTGCCTGTTTTCTAGATTTTATTCTGGCTAACCTTTTTTTGCTTTCTCTACTTATTTTTGTTCTTATTCCTGCCTCATTTTTATCATTAGTTCTGACCTTGCAATTATCTGTCAGACTTGACTTTAATTCTACATCAGTGTTCTCAATTCAAGTCAACATGAATTATCCAACTCAGATGAAGATTATTTTTTATTCTGATTCTGCCATACTGTCTCCAATATTGATTTTTGTGAATCTTTTATAACTACTGAAATAAGTCAATTTTCTTTGATATAAACATGCTTTTACTATAAACATGCATTAGATAAAATATTCTTAAAACAATATTTTTTTAAAAATCAGGAACTCCCAACTCTCTTCACTCTTTGAAACAAATGGAACACTTAGGACAACTTGTTATTGCCATCCCCCAACTTCTCATTAGCTTTGAATTTGGTAACCATCATAGCACCAGAATGTATTATTTTAGGAAAATAATTCAAAATCCTTAGTTTTAATTCCACCCCCACCTTGATTTTTATGTCCATCTTCTTCCTTTTTCTTTTTGGTACTTTTACATGTTTTTTCCCCCTACCCGTGTCATAGGATGAAAAACCAACAGCAAACTCCATGTTGGGCGTGTGGATTGGTGCAAGTGCTATTCCTTGTACTCCCAGTGTAGCAAAAGGAAAATCAAGAGTAAAATTCAGCTGTACAAAGTGAGTTTAAACTTTTCAGATTTTATGAGATACAATGAAGCAAATATTTTTAATAATGCTCATAGTTTTGTGAATATATCTAATTGATTAATAATATTCCCTTAGTTTTGACATAACAAAATTTTGGAGTTAAAATAATTATAAATGTTAAGATTTTGAAGTTTTAACATATCAATGTATGTTAAATGAAAAGTATAATGACAGCATATTTCTTAGTTATGACTTTTTAATATTGTTTAATAGGCTCAAAACACAAAATCGAGAAAAAGAACTTATGAAATTGGCTAAACAATTTGATAAAAATATGGAAGAATTAGATGTAATTCAAGAACAAAACAAAAGGAATCATGATTTTATGCAGACAATTTCAGGAACAGAGACTTTAAATAATTATAAAGATAATGAACAGATGCAGTTATTATGTGATATAATTCCTGAAATCAATAATGCTATAATAAAGAAGCCACTGAAAGTAAACACCAGGATATCTGTGGTAGAAAATCAAAACAGCAGTCAGAAGTCAGTTGACGAAAATGCTGAAGCAGACTTTAATGCCATTTTTGATGGTTCTACCCAGAAATGTAGTGGACGGTTAAGCCAAGACTTGTCAGATGCCAGTTTGAATACAAGTAATACTATGGTTGGAAAGAAAAGTGCTTTGAAAGCGGAGAAAGTCATTACTATTGAAACTCTGGTCAATGAAAAGCTGCCAAATAAAAGCACAGGATCACTTTCTGAACTAGATACTCCCATAACAACAAAATCATGTGTGACTACCTGTTTCATGGAGCCAGAAACTTCTAGTGAGCACATTGATGCATTTACTACCAGTGATTTTGAAGATGATTGGGGAAGCTTACTAGATAATGAACCTTTTGTTATGCAAAATCTTGAAAGGCCTGAATTCCCTGTTCTAAAAAGTGCCCAGGTTACTAATCAAAAGGAAGTTTGTGTCTTTATTAGTAAAAATAGTAAAAGTAAGTCAAGAACCAATACAGGTATACATGATCTGTTAAGAGATTCAAAAATATTGCAAAACCTTCCTTCCAAGACACATAGTGGAGAATTAATAGATTCTGGAAAACATAGAGTTTCACCAGATCTAAATGTTAAATCAAGCAAATTGCCATCCACTGGAAATAAAATGAAATTTGAAAACTCTTTCAATGAAACTGTTGTTGAAGACAAATTTCAAGATTGTACAGTTACATGTAATCTGACAAAAGTAAAGGAAGATAGTGATACTAAATTTACTTCTAATGTCAATCCCTCTGAAAAGAAATTTGCTTTAAATAGAAGATACTCTAATGAACAAGAAACCAGCATTACTAACACACATCAAGCTAATGCATCAAAGATTGTTTCTTTCTTTGATGACTGGAATGATCCATCATTTGCCAATGAAATTATTAAGACATGTCATCAATTGGAGAATACCTGGGAATCAGATGATGTAGATGATGATATGTTATACCAAGCATGTGATGATATTGAAAGACTAACTCAGCAGCAAGATATTAGGAAGAATAGCAAGACAACAGAAAGTATACTTGAGATCAATAACAGTTCTAAACATGGAACCAGAAACTGCTTTAGTACATCTAAAGGAAATCAGGTGGTACAATCAAAGCATTTAAATCTGGGCAGCATTTCATTGCAAACATCTTCCTTGACAAGTAGCTCACAGATAAATAAATCAATAAAGGTGGACAGAGGGGAAATGTATAGAAATTCTCCAAGTTTTTTAAACATCACAACAAATTTGACAATGAACTCAAATCTTCAGACAAGTAATTTGCGTGTCTCTGGGAATAACACTGCTGTACCAATACCAATGAATAGTTTCAAATCAGTTTTACCCAGAAGTTCAACACTGAATGTGATTTCAAATCCTGTGACTACAGAAGTTTCTACTTATAAGAAAAATGCTCAACAACTGTCTACTATGACCATTATGGATGAGCCCCAGAACAACTTTAATGAGACCGTTAGATTTTCAAAATACACATTTACAAGGATGAAAAATTCTCAGATTCTTTCTCAGTTTAACAGAAGTTGTATGGCAGGAAGTGTGTCTGATACCAAAATTACACAAGGATCAGAGAAAAAGAAAGCTGTCAGTCCATTATTGGGGGAACCAGATCAACAACAATCTTTGGTGAAATATTCTGAATCTTTGAGACAATCTTCAAAAGGTATGTATGTAATAATTTTCCAAAAATATTTTGACAAGTAGTAAAATTAGTTTTGATTATAACATATAAGGTTAAAAACTAGTATTTAACTAGAATTCTTAAGCAAATAATTAAAATATAGTATACTAAGGGCAAGTAGATCATTTTTCAAATTGTTACATCAGATTCTTTCTTAGCACTTATTATGATGACTAGCATAAAGTAGAAACTTAGTAAATATTGAATGATTTATGGATTATTTCCATGAAAATCATAGTTTTAGATATATGCATTACAGTGTAAGATTTAAGATTCTATTTACTAAATATTTCATTATTTTGAAACTTGAATAATCTTACTCCAACTTTTAGCAAAACAATGAGATGAACAATAGTTTAGAGTAGTGGTGGGTAACCTTTTTTCTGCCAAGGGCCATATAAAATTATCAACTTAAAATTAGCCTGCTTTAGATTTACTGAATTTCAGGTCCCACCTGTAGTTGCCTTGGCAGGGCCAGACCAAATGATTTTGCTGCCCTTACATGGCTTGCAGGCCTGATGTTCCTCTCTAATTTGTACTACAGAACATTCTGATTAAAAACCTTACTAGTATAATATCTGATATAAAACTCAATGAGGATTGGTGTTGAGGTGCAATAGGTTAAGCCCCTACTTAGGATGATTGTGTCCCATTTTGGAGCATTTGGTTTGAATCTAGCTACTCTGGGCCTTTGATCCAGCTTCCTAATAATACACTTAAGAAGCAATAGATGACAACCCAAGTCTCTCAGCTTCCATCACCTACATGGGAGACTCAGAGTTGTTGGCGTTGTTGGCTCCTGGCTTTGGCCTTGCCTAGCCCCTGTTGTTGTGGGCATCTAGAAAGTGAACCAGTGAGTAGAAGGAGCTCCTTTCTGTCTTTTCTTCTCACTCTGCCTTTCAAATAAAGAAATACATCTTCAAAACAAAGCAAAACTCAGTGCTACTTGTAATGGTTAGAATTTTGAGTTTTCATTTGATATGGTCTGTCATTTCTTATTTTTTATTCCTCTTTCCCCCAATTCTCCATCCCATCAATAAGTTCCATTATTTCTAATCTCAAAAATTATATTTCAAGAGTTTTTTCTCTCTACTGCTTCCATGCTTACTCAAGCCAACATTTTTTGACTTGAATACTGCAGTTATTTTTTGTGTTCTCTTTTTTAGTCTCTAATTGCAGAATAATATTTTAGAACCAGAAAGGCAAACATGGTATTCTTATTAGAACACTTTCAGTGGCTTCATATAATATTTCAAATAAAATCTACACTTTGTGATCTACAGAGTCCTGGATTATCTCTCTTTAACCTTCCCTTTTTTTCCTGCTCACCTGCTTAGCTTCAGCTATACCAGCAATCTTTCCATCTCTTAGATTCTTTCTTAATTTAGAATCTTAAATCTTAACAGTATGCTATTATTCCTTTTGACTAAAACTACTTCCAACATTTCATTTCTCAACTTTCACTATTTTGTTGGTGCTTTTTTACTCTTACATTTCAATATACTTGCTTCTGGAGGGTCTGTGAGTCTTCATGTTTATTTTCCATAATTTCTTAATTCCTTTTTTCACAGGTTGCAATTAAATATTTAGAAACTGTTGTCCCTTATCAGTGAATCCTTTGGCCTTTCACACAGCATCTGGCACTTCGAAGATGTTGAATAAATATTTAACTGAACATCATGTAATATAATGTGAAAAATCTGTTGTTCACTGATACTAGTATATTTTTTGCAAAGGAATATGTAACTACTTGTGATTCTTAATGCTTGTGCTTTCCCACAGCTTCATGTCTTTGTACTTCCTATTTCTTTCACCAGAGACATAGCACTTGCATATGCATTCACCAAATTTACCTGACCAATTTCCATTTGTCCTTTAAAATACAATGTGTTTCTACCTACCTAGAATGATTTAAATTCATTTTCTCTGGGGTGCTAACTTCCGTTGCAGCATTTATTATGCTGGCTTGTAATTACGGATTTTCTTAATCAGTCTCTCTCATTTGAAGTTAATTTTAGGATTCTTATCTATTATGTAGATCAATGCTAATATGGTGAGGGAGTTTTTAGTTTCATTTAGCATTATTATTTTCTGTCATTTAGATTCTGAGTGTTGCTTTTGTTGGCATTACTGCTACAACTTTCTTGTTTAAGTGATTCTTTTCCCCCTTTTTTAAACTTACTGAGGTAATATACTAGTTGCTTGGAAAGAATGAAAACAGTATAGAATAATTTGAAATAAAATGTTATCTTTTGTATAACCATTCTATCAGGAGAAATTGCTATTTTTTTTAATAGAACTGGGCCATTCCAAAGCCAGGAGTCAGGCAGGGTGTAGGGGCCCAAAGACTTGAGCCATCTTCCACTGCTTTCCCAGGCCACAGCAGAGAGCTGGATCGAAGTGGAGTAACCAAGACTCAAAATAGGCATCCATATGGGATGCGAGCACTGCAGGCAGTAGCTTTAGGCACTGTGCCACAGCGCTGGATCCCATTCTCTGAAATTTTTAGTGGATGCTTTACTTTTTAACTTGCTTTATCAATTTTGCTTTTAAGTTTATTGATAGTATTTAATCTCTTAATATTACCCTCGTCAATATTTTCTGTTTTGTGTACTTTATTTTATTTTGATATTTAGCAAGCTGCTTTCTAGGAAATACCTAAAAAAGTCCTTTTAACTTTCATTGATTTAAGACAGGAGTTGGCAAACCATGGCATGTCCAAATCCAGACTGTAGCCTGTGTTTGTATAGTCAACACACTAAAAAGGTTTTGTATGCTTTAAAGTGGTGGGAAAAAAATCAAAAAATATTATTACCTGAAATTCTTATTTTATTTTCCATTAATAAAATTTTATTTCAAAGCAGCTTATCATGTTGATGCATTGTCCATGACTATTTTCTTGCTATAGTGGTGGAGTTGATCAGTTAGGATAGCAGGACCTTTGACCTTTTACAGTTAATATATTTTCTGACCCTTTACAGAAAAAAAAAAATGAACCCAACACTTTAACGATTAAGAAGGGCCTCATATGCTTAGTAACTTGCAACAATTTGAGGCTTTTCTGTGTATTGTTGGTATACATTGAGTTAAATGAAGGGCAGTTGCGTGGCCAGTGCTGTGGTGTAGCCGGTAAAGCCACTGCCTGCAGTGCAGGCATCCCATATGGGCACCAGTTAGAGCCTGGGCTGCTCCACTTCCCATTCAGCTCTCTGCTATGGCCTGAGAAAGCAGTAGAGGATGGCCCAAGTCCTTGGGACCCAGCACCCATGTGGGAGACCCGGAAGAAGCTCCTGGCTCCTGGCTTCAGATCGGCGCAGCTGCGGCTATTGCAGCCAATTGGAGAGTGAACCATCAGATGGAAGACCTCTCTCTCTCTCTCTGCCTCTCTGCCTCTCTGCCTCTCCTTCTCTCTGTGTGTAACTGCATTTCAAATAAATAAATAAATCTTTAAAAAAAAAAAAAAAAGTGCGGCGCCTTGGCTCAATAGGCTAATCCTCCGCCTGCAGCGCCGGCACACCGGGTTCTAGTCCTGGCCGGGGTGCCGGATTCTGTCCCAGTTGCCCCTCTTCCAGTCCAACTCTCTGCTATGGCCCGGGAGTGCAGTGGAGGATGGCCCAAGTGCTTGGACCCTGCACCCGCATGGGAGATCAGGAGAAGCACCTGGCTCCTGGCTTCGGATCAGCGCGGTGCGCCGGCCGAAGTGCACCAGCCGCAGCGGCCGTTGGAGGGTGAACCAACAGCAAAGGAAGACCTTTCTCTCTGTCTCTCTCACTGTCCACCCTACCTGTCAAAAAGAAAAAAAAAATATATTGGCTAATTAGTCAGACTAATATATTCAAGATTCTGTACAGAAAAAATAGCTGTGTGTTAGATTACTAGCTTGGAAAATAAGATAACAGAATTATCTGAGGACTTATTTGAAAAATTTATTTCTTACTTTGAATATCTCCAGTCCCATTTTTAATTATACCAACAAAGGAAAGTAAGGCACATGATATATTTGGAGAAACATCTGTCTTAGTTACCAAGAAAAATGTCTTATAGCAAATTCTGTATCTTATTCTAGATCAGTAAATATTTTTCTTCTGGCACTGCTGCAGATCCTTCTCTGGAAAGCACATTTTACATGAATGTTTTACCAATAAAAGTTCACTTAAATATATATTAGTGTTGGTCTTAAACTTAAAATATCATTTAAGTGAGGAAATATAAAGTTTCTATAAAACATATCCTTCAAATAAAAATATAATCTCTTTAAGAGTGAGACACAAATGAGCAGTTTCACATCAGAGATTCATTCTATCAGTCTAAATTATTTTTCTGAGACAGCTGAAATGAAAACATTGAAGCTCCCCAGGGAAAAAAATAGGTATGAATATTAATTAGCTTATATTACAGTAACAGTACACGTTGAGGTATTAATACCCATTTTTATATTAAGCCAATTAATTGATTATAGTCTTTTTTTATTTATATAATATTTAAAGTCCCAGTGTGTTTACTTTCAAGATATATTTATTCATAGGTTATATGAATTAATTTCATTGTCAACGATAATTATTTGATGGGCATCAAAATCAACATAGTTTTTAATCATATTTAATTTCCTCATTCTGAAAAGAGTGCAACAAATAGGGGTAGATTGGTTTTTTTGTGACCAAGAGCTTTATGTCTATGTATTGGAATCTTGTATTGGTAGTTTAGTGTGATTAAATAACCAAACAATGTAGCAAATCTGAGTAATAAAGCAACAATTAAAGTTCATATGCAGAATGACTTAATGGCCTATAAAACTAACATGGACATTTTGATTACTTTTAGAGGAAAATGAGAAAAACAGAAAGTATTCTCCTGAAGAAATTCAGAAAAAAAGACAAGAAGCACTGGTTCGAAGAATGACCAAAGCACAGGCATCATCTGTAAATACAACTCCCACTTCATTTCTTTAATGAAGTATTACTTGGAAGACTTTATAAAGACTCTGAAAACTATCTGTGATAGGAAATAATTTTTTCTTTATTTCTCTGTGAGAAATTAAATGCTAACTTATAAAGCATGGACATTTTATTTAATAAATAAGTGTTTAAGTAGAAATTGAAAACTTTTTTTTGAGATGTATGTGAGAGTAATTACATAGAAGTTTTGGAAATTCAGGAAAGTTAACAATTATGTATTAGAATACAGAGGAAAACAGTTACATTTTTACATATTATAAATAAAAAGGATCATTAAAAATAATTTACTTAATTTTCTTTTGTAATGTCCTTCTATTACAAAGTTCTAATTTACTAAGTTAGTATAGACTATTTTTAGTTTAATAACTTTTGCTTAAGGCTTTTATATATTCATTTCCAAATTCTAGGTAGTATTTCCATATTCCTGAGAAGACAATTGGCAGAAAAGAATTCAATTCATTTTTAAGGAAATTATTATTTTTTAATCCCTAGTCTGAATTGGATTTGAATTTTATTATTTCTAAAATGTGACATATTTTAATAACTAGACCATTTTTAGGAAAAATACTAAAAATGGGAGATATGGGTTAGATATGTAAGTAATATGAATCAATTTAGAACTGGCAGAAACTAGATATCATTTGGTGCAACTGTTTTATTATACAGGTGAAATAGTACTGTTATTTTCAAAGTTATAAAAAGCTTCTCTGCATCAAAATGATTTCTTTGGACATCTAGACAGTCTACTATTTTTTTTTTTTTTTTTTTGGACAGGCAGAGTGGATAGTGAGAGAGAGACAGGGAGAAAGGTCTTCCTTTGCCGTTGGTTCACCCTCCAATGGCCGCTGTGGCCGGCGCACTGCGCTGATCCAAAGCCAGGAGCCAGGTGCTTCTCCTGGTCTCCCATGGGGTGCAGGGCCCAAGTACTTGGGCCATCCTCCACTGCACTCCCTGGCCACAGCAGAGAGCTGGCCTGGAAGAGGGGCAACCGGGACAGAATCCGGCGCCCTGACAGGGACTAGAACCCGGTGTGCCGGCGCCACAAGGCGGAGGATTAGCCTAGTGAGTCGTGGCGCCGGCCAGTAGCTGTCTTTTAAAAAATACTTTCATATATTTTCGTATTATTTGAAAGGCAGAGAGAGATGAGAGCGAAGGAGAAGAGAGAGATCGTCCACAGCAGAGAGCTGGACTGCAAGAGGAGCAACCGGGACAGAATCCAGCGCCCCAACTGGGACTAGAACCCGGGGTGCCAGCGCCGCAGGTGGAGGATTAGCCAAGTGAGCCGCGGCGCCGGCCGACAGTCTACTATTTGCTTCAGATTATTAGTATGCTAAATAACTTGTTTGAGGGAGCATTAACTATTTTGTAGAATAAAACAAAAAATTAAAAATTAAAAGCACATTAAGTACTATATAATAATAATGCTCATTTTTCCTTTTTTTAAAAAAATCTTCCCAGGATACAAAAATGAGACTTTTCTTTCTGATTTTCCTGTCATTATTCAGTTTCCTCCTCTGTTAATTTATTTACTGTATTGATTTGCAAAATAATTTGAGTTCTCCCCTAAAGGCCCATGTGTAAAGTCTTAATCTCAAAACTATTATGTTAATGGATTAAGAATGGAACTTAATTGAACTATGGTTTCAATGGTAGTCTCTTATAAAGTTTGTGATAAGATTAGGTTTTAGAGTAGAGGCCCTATAATCAAATCATTGTGGCATAGTAAGGATTGAAACAATGGCATGAAGGAAAACTGTGCTCACCTTGTCTCTCTGCTTCATGACTTGCCATTTGATCTTTCCTTTACTTGTATTCAGTCAGCTACCACCCTCACCAGAGGCTAGATCAGTGGAGCCAGTAATCTGGAGTTGTGAACCTTCAAAAGTATAAACCTTAAGTAAACCTGCCTACCTAAGTAGTTCCTCTCAGATATGTTAGATAAAGCAATGAAAGGCTGACAAATATACTCACTTTACTAATGTTTTCTTCTCTATTATTTTTCCCTTGTTACCTGTTTGGAATTTGCTGATCCTGTAATAGAAGTCTAACCAGAGGACATAAGGAAGTAAGGATGCTTTATTCCACCTAAATGGCTTTAGGAAACTTAAGAAAATTTATAGATATGAAACACTGTTGTATGGTGTTAACCACTATTCAGTGTCTTAGAGCTATGATAATATAGTGGTTATTGTTTATGTGGTCTATATGATTTTGTGAATGGTATTTTCATACATTCACATTTTGGGTAACCTGTATTGTGCAAGAATACATTATAACGCAAGTAAATACAAGTAAGTTTATATAAGAAAATGAAGAGCTGAGTTATCTTTTTCTGAAGTGCCTTCACTATCTTCTGATTCCACTTTGGATGTCTATCTTTGCTTAAGCTCTTCTCTGCTTACCACTTGTTTTCTTTAGAGTGCTTTTAGCCTATCTGTCTGTTCATTTGGAATTGGCCTTATGACTTTGTTTCTTTGAAAGTCATACTTGACCATCATCACTGTAACTGATTTCTCTCTGGTCATGATGGTACTTATTTCTTAGATCTTTCATGGGCCATTCTTTAAATGCCTTATGTAACATTCAGTTATATATGTCTTATATAGTATTTTACAGCTTATAGTTTTGTGCTGTTTTCTTAAGTCTGCCATATTCTCATATAGCTTGTAGTGTTACTTACATATTTTTCTCTAAGTGACTCATTTCTCTTTAAAAGGAAGTTTTATAGCTCTTGGATGGTGGGGGATAGAGTAGCCCAGCTCATGTGAAGCTGATCATGATTGTCTTTCCAAGATAGCTCCTGTTCATCACTTTCCTCTCCTATTCTAATTCATCTTACTTTAGCCAGTGTTGGAAATAGTAGATGTTGAGTAGCCTATGACTGAGCAGGCAGAGGATGGCCTGCATAGTTTTGCTAGCTTGGCTCTTTCCAGAAGTCTATAGGGAATCTATCTCCACAGGGAAATGGGGCAACTGGTAGGCCTGACAGCTCTCTTCCAGCTCAAGTTCTGCTGCTGTTTATACATCTGAGAAAGACTGATCACAGTAATGCCATTATTTCAGCAAAGAGACTATTGCAGAGTAAAGCCTATCTCTCCTTACTTTTTTCCTAATGTCAACAGGCTACTATGATTTCAGGAATAATTGGGTTACTTACTACAAAATCAGTTGTATATATGTAAATATGTAACACATCATGGGAAATACTACCTTATATCATTATACACTACCCTGTTAAAACCAACTTTTAAATTGGAGCAGAGATATTTTACTTATCTCTGTCTACCTGACTTAGAAATATTCATTGGCTACCTACTAAATGTTGAACAAATTTAGAAAGATTCTGGTGGCAGGGATGCTGTGTTGCCCCCACCTGAGGCTATTTGGTTTCAAATATCTTAGCTTTATTGAAGGTTAGAAAATCTTTTTAGGAACAATTTAAATTTGTCCAGCACTGATTGGTGTAGGCAATAATTTATAATCTGATCATGCTGTTCAATTATTACCCTGTACGTTCACTTGCGGAATTCAAAACCAGAACAGCAGGGTTGGCCTTTTCCTTCTCTTAGACTTCATAAATGACTGTGTAGATAAAAGTGAGATTTTAAGGAAAAAGTGCTGTTTATAATACCTTCCAAAACATGAAGTGCTAAGGGGTAAATAAAAAAAAAAAAAAAAGCTGGAAAAAAGCAGTACACTGAAAACTATAGAACATTGCTGAGAGAATTTTTTTATTATTATTATCTGACAGGTAGAGTTATAGACAGTGAGAGAAAGAGAGAGGGACAGTGAGAAAGGTCTTCCTTCTGTTGGTTCACCCCCCAAATGGCTGCTATGGCCGGCACTGTGCCGATCCAAAGCCGGGAGCCAGGTGCTTCCTCCTGGTCTCCCACGTGGGTGCAGGGCCCAAGCACTTGGGCCATCCTCCACTGCCTTCTCAGGCCACAGCAGAGAGCTGGACTGGAAGAGGAGCAACCAGAACTAGAACCTGGCGCCCATATAGGATGCCAGCGCCACAGGCAGAGGATTAACCAAGTGAGCCACGGCGCCGGCCCCAAGAGAAAATTTTAAAAACCCAAATAAATGAAGAGATTCAGAAGTCTCAATATTGTTAAGATGTTTTCCCTAAGTTACTCTAAGATCCAATACAATCCAAATCATACCAGCTATTTTAAAAATAGAAAATGACCAAAGCATTTTAAAATTCACATGGAAATGGAAAGGACCTAGAATTTCCAAAACAACCAGAAAATTAATAAATTTGAAGGCAAACAATATCTGATTGTAAGACTTGTTATAAAAGTGTAGAAATTAAGACAGTGGCATAAATAGATGAGTGAAACAGATGTTTTTTTTAAAGATTCATTTATTTATTTGAAAGTCAGAGTTACACAGAGAGAGGAGAGGCAGAGAGAGAGAGGTCTTCTGTCCCATGGTTCACTCCTGCAATGGCTGCAATGGCCGGAGCTGCACTGATCAGGAACCAGGAGCTTCTTCCGGGTCTCTCATGTGGGTTCAGGGGCCCAAGGACTTGGGCCATCTTCTACTGCTTTGCCAGGCCATAGCAGAGAGCTGGATTGGAAGAGAAGCAGCCGGGACTAGAACTGGCGCCCATATGGGATGCCAGCATTTCAGGCCAGGGCATTAACCTGCTGCTCCACAGCGCTGGCCCCAAAACAGATTTATAAATAAACACAAATGTGTACACTCCTTACTTTTCAAAGTTGTGCCTTTGTAATTCAATAGAGGATCTTCAGGGGAAAAAAAAAATGTGCTGTAAAAATTGACATCTGTATGGGATAAACCAGAAACGTTAATATCTTACAAAAGCCAAAAAGGGCTAACAAAATTTGAAGTGATTAATCTATGAGAAAACAAAACTGTTGTGACCTTGAATTCACAATTTTTAAAAATTTTAAGGTACAACACCAAAAGAAATCCATAAAACAACAAATTGATGAACAAGACTTTTATCAAAATTAAGATGACTGGTCTTCAAAACATATTTTTAAGATCTAAAAAAAGGATCCAAAATTCAGTCAATGAGGGAAAGAAATCTACAAATGGTACTGGGACAACTAGTTAGGCACAGGCAAAAGAATTAAGTTGTACCCCCACATCACACCATATACAAAAGATTAAAATGCATCATAGAACTAAATTCATGGAGCTCAAGCTGTGACATAGTAGCCTAAGCCTCCGCTTGCGGCGCTGGCATCCCATATAGGCACCTGTTTGTGTCCTGGCTGCTCCTTTTCCAATCCAGCTCTCTGGTTATGGCCTGAGAAGGCAGTAGAAAATGGGCCAAGTGCTTGGGTTCCTGCACCCATGTGGGAGACCCAAAAGAAGTTCCTGGCACCTGGCTTCAGATTGGCTCAGCTCCAGCTGTTGTGGCCATTTTGGGGAGTGAACCAGCAGATGGAAGATCTTTCTGTCTGTCTCTCCCTCTCAAATAATTCTCAAATAAATTATTTAAAAACAGGAATTTTTTTAAAAAAAGTGAATTCAAGAGCTAAAACTTCAAACTCTTTTTTAAAAACTTAGAATAAATCTTCAGGCCTTATGTGGTCTGTTTCTGGTTTAGGTGACCCAAGAGTCTGTATACTTGGAGGTGTGGTCCTTCAGGGCAATAGTATTCATAGATGGTGTGGATCTTCAGAAGTGGGGCCTTGAGGGAGGTAATTAGGTCATTGAGGGTAATTAGGAATTACCTCCAAAAGAGATTTCTCATGGGACTAGCTAATTCTTGAGAGACAGTAGAATATACTTCAATTCCTGAGGAGTAGAACAGGAAAGTAAGCACAGGACCTTGCCTAGGAACTCAGTGTCAAGCCCACCATGGTCAAACCCAGCACAAGACAAAATCCAGCAGCCCTCACACTAGGCCAGCACTCACAGATGGAGTCTGTAGATCTGCATCCTGATGGGACATATTTGTGTCTTGCCTAGCATCACTAGCAGCCTTGCTGTGTGGGCCTGGGGTATACCCTGATTCTATACTGGTCCTTGCAGGTGTGACTTGGCATCAGCCTTGGAACCCAAGGGCTCCTTCATTACCTTTCCCCCAGCATCCAATTCTTAGAGAAACACTCTGTCCACTGGGGGTGAGAAAAGGAAACACACAACTTTGCCTGGAAACTCAGTTCCAGAACAGAACCAATACTGGGAGAATCCCAACAGGCCCTGTCTCTAGGCCTGGGGCCATAGGATGCAATCTTGAGACCTGTGACCTAAGCCTAAATGATGGCTAGTTAACAATAGCCTTGGACTGCAAGTGCACTATAGCATCAGGCCTGTGATGGTAGCATAGACCTTGCTCTTCCCTACATGGTACACTATTCTTAGCAGACTGTGGACTCTTGGATGTGACTTGGTACTGTGACATTGGTCATGGATTTCACACCACTTCTTCCCCCTATCCCAGGACCCCAGTGTAGAGTCATTGTCCACTTAGGGAAGAAGGAGGTAGGTACCAAGTCATTGCATGGGAGGCAGGGACCAATTCTTCCCCCAGAAGGCCCAGACACAAGCAGGATCCTGCAATGTCTGACCATACACTGGTGACTAATGATGAGAATCTGGGCTCACCCTGGCTTCAGGTTGAGACTTGTTTGGATGGACTATACTTTTTAGTCACTCTACCAGTTCCTTCTAAATAGCACACAAACTGCACATTTGGGATAAACTTGGTATGGGGACTCTGACAATGACAACACACTAACCACAGACTTGTGGCAAACCTAGACTTAGGGTGCCATCTAGTGCTGAAATACTCAACATAGACTCAGAGAAAATAGTATGCTTAGAATTAATAGGAACAGCACAAAACAAAGCCAGATTAATGGAATTTAATGGGAATGAATATCTAATCCTTTATTGCAGTTGTCATATGGAAATGATCATCAAGGACTTGAGAACAGTAACCTCATGTAATGGACAAAATAAGGTATAAGAAACTGACTGTAGAGCAACTGATATGTGCAAACTCTTGGACAGAGAATTCAGAATAACTTTACAGAATATTCAATGAGCTTCAGGAAAACAAAGGGAAGCCAGTCAGTACTC